CAAAGATGCATTTGGCTGGGTTTAACCTCATTCTATTCTGTCTGAGATTGTTGAATGTCTCCTCAAGGTCGGTTAAGTGATCGTCAGCTTTCAAACTCTTTACCACTATATCATCAACATAAACATCCAGATTCCGTCTTATCTGAGCTCGGAATACGATGGTAACCATCTTCTGGTAAGTGGCACCTGCGTTCTTCAAGCCGAAGGGCATCATTACATAGCAATAGATCTCATCGCCAACATAGAACGAGGTTTTTTCTTCATCCTCAGGAGCCATTGGGACCTGGTGGTAGCCTGAGTATGCATCCAAGAGACTTAATCTCTCATTTCCCGAAGCTGCCTCAACCAGCTTATCAATGTTTGGCATTGGATAACAGTCCTTTGGACATGCATCGTTGAGGTTAGTGGAATCAATGTACATCCGCCATTTACCATTTGCTTTTTTCACCAATACCGGATTGGCGACCCACTCACAGTAATCTATCCTTCTGATAAAGCCGGCTTGTAGGAGTTTCTCGACCTCTTCTTTAATAACCTTTAACCTCTCCCCCCCGAAGAGCCGTCGCTTCTGGGCTATCGGTTTCTTGAGGGGATTGGTGCTGAGTTTATGTTGAAAAACTGAAGTGGGAATTCCCAACATATCTGCTGAAGTCCACGCAAAAACATCTTTATTGGCCCGAAGAAAAGCTATTAGCTCTGCTCTTTCCTCCGGGTTCAATTTAGTCCCAATTTGCGTTTTCTGGCTCGGATCTCTGTCATCAATCTGTACCTCCTCCACATCTTCGACGGGAGCAGCTCTGGTTTCATCTTCTGGTCGGTTATCTTCTATCTCAACACACATAACTTGCCGATCATCAAGAATCTGTTTGGGATCAGTCTCGAGTGTCTGAGCCTTGCTCTTCTGAGGTTGTGTTACCGAGGTGATATAGCAATGTCGGGCCACGTCCTGGTTGCCTCGTAGCGTTGCTATTCCCTTAGGAGTTGGGAACTTTATGCATAGGTGAGATTGGGAAACCACAGCTCGGATTTCAGTCAGTGTGGGTCGACCAATGACGACATTGAATGAGGACGCCATCTTGACTACCAGAAACCTGACTGAAGGGGTCACATAACTTCGGCCACTTCCAAATGCAACATTCATGGTGAGGACTCCTTCAACTGGAACTGGTTGGTTGTTGAACTCGTAAATGGGACCATCATACCGCTGCAACAGGGCTGGATCTAACCCAAGACTCTTAAAACAATGGAAGTACATGATGTCTGGTGCACTCCCTGTGTCAACAAGGACACGCTGCACCTCACAATTGTTGATCGTGACAGAAGTGACTAGAGGATCATTGTGAGGTGTGACAACTGTTTCAAGATCAACAGATGTGAAAGTGATGGGTTGATTCTTCCACTCAGCATCGTCAAATTTTCGCTTCTGAGCTCTGTTCTAGTGCTTAACCTCTCTGACATACAACTTTCGCTGCTTAGAGCTTAGTCCACCGGCTTTCAGACCTCCCGTAATCATGTGTATGACTCTAGCTGGTGGTGGGAGTGTGGGTGGGGCCTGTTGATATCCCACACCTTGCCTGTTTGGGGGATTGCGGACTCCTTGATGCTGTGTCCCTTGTTCGCTGACAAACCGTGGTTGTTCAACTCTCTGAATGTACTCGTTCAACATTCCTTTCTACGCCAGACTTTCCAGCTCGGACCTCAGACTATTGCATTGTTCTGTTGTATGACCGTGATCTTGATGAAAATCACAATACTTGGTATGGTCTCTGGTAGCAGCAGCAGTTCTCATTGGACCCGGACATCTTAAGTCCATCTTATTCTTAATCTGCATGAAGATTTGTGACCTCAGTAAAGTAAAAGGAGTCTAATTAATTGGAGGTTTACCTGCAGGTTGTTGCGGAGGTGCTGAGTTCGTCCTTCCGAATCTCAGGGTGGAAGTCGACATCGGACCTCGGTTCTGTGTTGTCTTCATCCGTTTCCTGTTTGGATTCTCATCTCTCAAGTCCGGGTGTTGATTCTTAATAGGAGTTATGTTCTGCGACAGGGCATATTCCTCAGCAGTTATGAATTTCAACGATCTATCATTTACCTCGCTGAAGGTGTTGGCAGGATGTTTGAGCAAACTATCTCTGAATCTTTCATGGCTAAGACCTGAGATCACAGCTGTAATTCCCACAGCTTAGTCGAAAGAGTTAACCTCCAGCACTGCATCATTGAATCTGCTCATAAAATTCTTCAAAGACTCTTCGTCCCCTGCTTAACTCGCATCAGCTCAGAAGTGGTTTTCCTGATCAACCTTCTACTGGAAAACTTTACGGCAAAAGCGGATGCCAGTTCTGTGTAAGAGTTGATTGACCTCGGAGGCAGACTGTAATACCAGGTTCGAGCATTACCTCGGAGGGTAGAGGGAAAGATTTTGCACATCAACGCATCAGAGGCGTTCTGAGCCTGCATACAAGAGTAGAAAGCATGTAGATGATCATCGGGGTCCTTCGTCCCATCATAAGTTTCAAGCTGTGGTATTATGAAGCCAGCAGGATAGGGTTCCAGTATAATATTGGTGTTGAGAGGGTGGGGTACGGAGTCAGCAGCAGGGTGTGAAGGTGGGACACCTCGTTGTTCAACCACTAGTTTTTCTAGACTATCTAGACGTCGAGTGACATCATCATGAGGGGGTTGCTGAACTGGTGCGATGTGAGATTGGCCCTAAGATTCACTAACAGCAAGAGCATGCTGAACTGGTTCGGGGTTTTGTGGTGGGGTTGGGGGTTGTGGAGCAGGATTAAGTAGGTTGATGAGTGGATCACCAGGATTATTCCGGGCTAATAGCTGAGCCAGCACTAGCTGAAAAACACCAAACTGCTGTTGCATGGCAGCGAGCTAAGTTGCAACTACGTCTTGATTAGCAGTAGAGGCTGAGTTGCTAGCCGAATTGTGTGGCTGATTTTCATCTTCTCCTTCTACATGATCAACAGGAGGGAACGTATTTGGGATTGGGGGTGGGGGATGAGGCAGAAGGTTGCTGGGGACCTGACCTCGTCCAAGAGGCTGAGACGAGTTTCCACCTCGGGCTGACCTAGTTTTAACCATGATAAGAGCAACAAGGGAGCCTTTAGTTCAGTTTCCCACAGACGGCGCCAAAATGTAACTGCACCAAACCAGAAATCCTTCTTCAGTCCGTATCTGCACTCTGGATTGACCTGCAAAGCCCCGAGGTGAATCATCGGGGTAGACACTCCGATGCTTAAGTCAGCAATAATCGGGACTACCTTTAGAACGGAGGAATAAGGAGCTTAGGGTTGGTTTCAATTACCTTTTTTACGTGACCCTTGAGGGGTATTTATATGTTCCAATGAAGAACCCACGCAGCATGCTAAGCAAGACATTCGGAGTGTATCTCCAGGCAGTTATTCCGGGATCGGGAAATTAAGCCCAGCAAGATATTCGGGATTTGATATGTATCTTCAGGCAGTTATTTCGGGATCAGGAAATTAAGCCCAGCAAGATATTCGGGATCTGTTGTGAGGATGTCCATTATGACTGCTGTGCAACGGTCCGAGCAGGGAGCTCTGGATTTACTCTTCATTTCGGTTGTAAAGGAATTACTGTCGTACGTCCGAGGTTGGGCACCTCGGACCTGCCCTTACATGTATATAATTCAAACACCTTTATGTATATGTTTAAAGAAAATATTCATTAACAGTTTGACTAAACCGAAATTTTATCATATATAATAATGATATAACTT